GATTGAACCAAAAAAGCTGATTTGAGATTGTCAAACAACCGGATAAGGCTCTCACACTCATTATCCCTCGATCCTATCCTGAAATCAAAGTCCCAACTCCCAACATATTGAGAGGTGACAAAATTTGAAATAGGTCGCTGCTTATAATTATAAACCGAGTAAAGATTAGGGTAAAGGGAACTAAAAGGAGTATTCCCTAGCCAAAGGTCTTCCCAAGAAAGAACCCTAGAATCACAACCCACATCAAATCTGATGAAATTGAAAAAAATTGGATATACCTCTTGAATTGCTTTCCAAGGAGAGTTCAAGGTTGATTTAGGAATCTAGGGCTGCAAATGGATCGATTGATCGAATCGGATTTGGTAAGAGGTATATCCGATTCGATTTGATGAAATTTCTTAGTGATTCAAATCCGTTAATAATCTGACGGATTTTACAAAGGCCGATTCGAATTTGATCCGCTAATCTTAACAGATATCCAATTCGAATCCAATTGTTAACTATTGAGAACTTTCAGCAAGTAGAAGATCTACAGTTTACTATACTCGATACAAGAAGAGAAAGAGACAGATCAATAGGGGGTGAGTATAAGATTTATAGTTTCAGAGACAAATTACTTGCAGCCCCAATGGTGGACTGGTTGCAATGATCTGATTGTTGCCAGAACTCTGGATCTGGAACTGGAGCTGGTTGCAATGAGTGACCCATTGAAGAGATGATTCAGTCTCGTTCATGTTTAGGTTAGGATTTAGGGTATTTTGGCTCATAAGCCAAATTACAATTATAGACATAATAAAACTAAAAAAATTACAAATATATAAAACCTAGTTAAAATAAAAACCAAAGGGTATACTTGTCCTATAAAATTATTTAAAAAAATATTTATTTATTTATTTATTAGCGGATCGGATTGGGTCATGGTGGATCAGATCAGTCGATATCTGAATTTGATCCGTTAAGTTAATGGGTCGACTTTTCTGATCCGATACGATTTGTTAGGATCGGGAAGGATATCCGAATCCACCTCTTAACGGATCTGTATCAGATTTGAATTGGATCTGATCCAACTTATCTGCAGCCCTATTTGCATCCTAACCGTTATTCATCAGTCCTTGTGTTGCAACCTGTCTCATTCCAATGGAAATCCAAGTCCATTTTCCTAGCAGTGAAGTGTTTCTTAGAACTATATTTTTTTGATGAATATTTCTTAGAACTATATTCCCCAACCCTAGACCTCCCTTTTCTTTTGTCTTGAAGATTTGTTCCCACTTTACTGCTAAATGGTCTTATTTTCATTCCCAAGCTCCTAGAGAAAGTCCCTTATAAGTTTCTCTAACTCCCTTGCTACTCTCACTGGAACTCTAAAGGTGGACAGAAAATAAACAGGTAGGTTAGCCAAGGTTGCTCTTATCAAGGTTATTCTTCCACCAATGGACAAGTCATTCCTCTTCTACATGGCCAACTTCTTTGTGAATATCTCCACCACTGGTTTCCAAAAGGCCTATGATCTGGGTTCCCTCCCAAGGGTAGTCCTAACTCCTAAGTATTCTAAAGGCCATTGTTTGATCTCACACCCTCGAGTCTTGGCTATCACTCTCAAGTTTTCATCTTCCAAAATTTTTCCTGCTATACAACTCTTTTCCCAATTAATCTTCAAACTGGAGGCCGATTCAAAAGAATTGATGATTTCTCGCAGATTTGATGTAGAATCTCAGTTGTCTCCCTTACAGAATAAAATGATATAATCTGCAAACTACAAATGTGTGATTGCGACCTCTGATCTTCCTACTCTCCATCTTCTAAACAGATTATTCTGATCGACTTTCAACAACATCCTACTTAGGACATCCGCAATTAAGGTGAATAGGTAGGTAGATAGGGGATCCCCTTGTTTCAACCCCCTATTTTCTGGAAAGTAATCTCTAGCCACACCATTAATCAGAATCGAATACTTTACGGAACTTGAGCATCCTTTCATCCACATCCTCCACCTCTGCCCCAACCCAATTTTCTCCATGATTTCCGGAAGGAAAGACCAATCCACAAAGTCATAGGCCTTTTCTATGTCTAACTTGCACACCAGGCCCTTCCCTTTCCTCCTCTTTTCTGCTACACATTTATAGGCTACCAAAATCCTGTCTACAATCTGTTTTCCTTTGACAAAGGCTCCTTAATGTTGTGACGTTACCAAGGATAGTGCCTTCTTTAGTCTCCCTTCTGGAACTTCTGCTATGGTTTGAAATCCTTTGGGAAT